TGACAGTGATTCCTTGCCAGCAGCCATTCGGAACTCTGAGGAGCGTCTCTCCAAGGGTGACATCTACCTGCTGGAGAATGGGCTGAACGTCTTTGTGTGGGTGGGAGTCAGTGTGCAGCAAGGCCTGATCCAGAACCTCTTCGGAGTCTCATCCTTCAGTCAAATTAGCAATGCCTTGGTGAGCTGGATGACAGTGTGGGAGATAGAATCTGTGATAGTCACCCAAAATCTAAAACCATGAGGAAGCCAGTAGAAAAGATAGCATCTCATTTTTCATAACCGAAATGAGAGAAGCACAGATGTGTGAAACTAGCAGAAATGTTGATAGTCTGGGCATGTCAGGGATGCTTTAACCTAGGTTTATTTGACAAATTATACCATTAATAGTGAACAGAACAGTTGATATCTAAATGGAATAAATAATAATTGATCTTCAATTCTGATTTCATGTTATATTCCCTTTTAAGTAGTTGAAGTAAAAAAAATTGTACGCTAATGGGCGTAGATATTTCTCTACCCTTATACAGTATGCCAAAACTGCTGACTTCTTTAACATTGCTCTACTTCCCGAGACTAATGGGGATTGGATATCTTTCATTCCAGAGTACCCTGCCAGTCTTGGAAAACCCCTTTTCAAAGAAAGTGCGATCTATTGTTGATATGATTCAAGGGCAGAGATCCCGCTACATGAAGGTAAAAATGTTCCCCATTTACAGCTTTAAATCCCCTTCCTTCTTAGTAGAGTCAGGTGATGCCTGGTAATGCTGCAGTCCTGAGCTTTTTCTTCCCAACCTCATAAATGTTGTTCAAAGTTTTCAAGAAGCTGAAAACAAATTTCATTAGATTTGGAGTTCTGTACTTACCATAGTTCTAAAACTTTTCTTTTTTCAAACCCATTACAATATATTACTATATAAACCACATATATGGTATTTTCCTTCTGTTTAGAAAGGACTGAGGCTTAACTCAGCGGAGTTACACAAGTTGAAGCATATAAGCCACATATGCTGTGATTCTGTCTGTCTTTGGGGTTTTGAGCATTTAGCTTTTTGCTCTATTTTTCCCCATGAAGATTAATTCTAATAGCTACTCACTGTTGGTTTTGCTCTTGTTTTGTTTGGTTTTTTTGTAGTTGATAATTGTGAAGCAAGAAGATAAGCTGGAAATGCTGTTCAAACACTTTCTAGTGGAGGACAAGAGCCTGAGTGGGGGGGCTTCATATGTGGACTTCCTGTGTCACATGCACAAGGAGATTCGGCAGCTACTGAGCTAGAGGAGTGAGTGGTGCTAGAACTCGGCAGTGACATTTCAGTCTCCACTAATGACCTGATCAGAAGGCCCAGCGCCCTCAGAAAGGACAACATAGAAATCTGTACAATTCCATAATTTTTAATACACATTGCATAAGCAGAAATCCTTTCAACCTTTCCCAATCCCATATGAGAGGTGAAATATTTTCCTGGTGAGGGCTAAAACAAAAAAAAAAGGCCTTTGATACCAGGTCTTTTATTTGCATTTAAATTGTTTCCTGTGCTTGGCAGGAGTTCACCCCCCACCCCACCCCATGCTCGCTAATCCTGTTGTAATGAATGTAGGGTTTTTTTCAGTTCACTGTACATGATTCAACTTTGGGTGAAAAAGCGATAACTTCAAAATTTCTGGTAGCTGCTGTGCATTTGCGTGGGTGTGTGTGCATGCTCCAAGTGAGAAGAGGATGCACAGGTGGGGAGGACAAGAGGCAGGTCAGGTGATGGGAGCTGGAGCAGCCATACATTTTGTGTGTCCTCTAAGGAGGGAAACATGATCTGTCAGAGCACAGATCTATCACGTGGCTGTCTGAACCAGAAAGCCATGAAAAATGAAACGAGTGGTAAGCCAGGAGGCAGCAGGGCAAACTTCTCTCTGCAATATTCCCATACTGTAAGTTGCTGTGCAGAACTGTAATGGAGTAATCGATAGTTAAGTGGGCAAAAATCAACAGCTTCTGAGCAGTGTAGGGGTAGAGCCGGTACTTCCTGTTGACATGTGTGGTGACTCCTTTCCTTCTCATTGCACAGCTCTGTATTGTCCTAGTCAATCCATGTTCCATGACCTCTCCTGCAGAGTTTACCTGTCTGTCAGATGGTGGTGGGAACAAAAGCTTCTTAACCTTAAGCAGAAAATACTTTTAACAAGGTGATGGGGGACTGTGTAGGAACTGGATGATAAGGAAGTGGCCATTTTCAACCATATTTTTGTGAACCATAGCAAACAAGCAGAAATTTGATTTATACTGACGTGAATTTGAGATTGCTCTGTACCCTGGAATACAAGGAAGGGGATACAAAAGCATAAGATTTAGACTGTACTGTAATAGGTATTGCAAGTACCTGATTTAGGTTATTGACAGCACCTAGGCCATAGCAAAGAGTTTCATTACTGGATGTTTGTACCCTCCACATTCTATCTACTGATCAGCTTGCACAAAACCTTTTATAAGCCTGTTTGTTAAACTAAAATACCTCAGATAGATTAATCCATCCACTTTGGCTGCTCTGCTGCTCCGTTTTGCAAGGGTGGATGAGAAGACTCCTGTGAAGAGGGAGCTAGTGTAATCGAATTCAGAATTCTAAGGGCTTTGTTTATTCACTTTTGAAAGGGGGCTTGTATATTTTAACTTGAACACTTAACAGGTGTTCTTCCACTACCCAGGAGTTTAAGCTACCAGTAGAACTAAAAGTGAAAGGAAGAATGTGGATGGATTAGAGAACACGTTATTTGGGTTTAATATCTCATAGGAAAGTCCTTGTTAATATCAGAAAAATATTTGGCTGTGGTTTTAGTTCCATATCCTGTAGCATGTATATAAATCCATTTTTCTTCTAATGCTGCTAGTTTGTCTTCCCTCCCATCACTACACAGAAAGGGGAACATGAAAATTGTAATGGAGAAACTCTTTCAAGATGTAGTTGACCGAACTTTCAGCGTTTTTGTATGAATGTGGCTGACTTTACTCCACGTACTGCCTCCAACCAAAAATCTAGAGGATTTTTAATCAGAGGGGGAAAAAGAGCTTCCCAGGAATATAATGCACAGCAACCACAGACTTCCACAAATACTAATTTATAGTATTAATATTGGGGGGTGTGGGGGTGGAAATGAAATCATGAATGAAACTTTCATTTTCTTCACTTGTTTTTCCAATGCATCTTTTAATTTGTAAAGAAATAAAAATATATTAAGATGTATTTTATGTCATTGTTAGTAAATAAACACTGCTTATTTTTCCAAACCCTGTATTTTGCGGGAGGGGGGAAATGGGAAGGGCTGCAAGTCTAGCTCATTGATCCTTTACAATCCAATCTTCTACTAACCAAGTTCAGTCTTTCTTTTTTTGTCATTGTTATTTGCACTGAATGATAAGAAATTCAACAAGAGTCAACAGACAAAAGGTACTGTTTAATCTTGGTGTTCCTTTATTTAGGTGATTGGTTTTTGACTGTCTGCCCTGTCTGAACTTCCATTTTACAAAGAAATGGCCTTTTTTGCTAACACAGCTTGAGTCATTGATTGGGTGGGGGTTTTTTGGCCTACTTAGGCAAATATTGCCCTTGCCTTATGACAATGTCAAGTTAATGACTTCTGTAATCTTAAAAGAAAGAGTTCATATTTCAGAGTTAAGGGTACCTGGCTGAATTGGTTGGGTGGGGTTTTTTTTCTGTTGGGTTTTTTGGGGGTTGGGGATGTTAGGTTTTTTGGGGGGTTGGGTTGTGGGGGTTTTTTTCGGGAGTGTTGCTAATTGCAAAAATAAAGTTCCGAGTGAACTGGCAGTGTTATCTTGACTGTACCTGTGAATATTGCTGTTGTACAGTTTGCTGGATAACCTTTTAACAAATCTGTATGAAAGCACAAGACAATCATTGCTAAATATCCAATAATACTAAATTTGCTGTAGAATATTTTTGAGATTCCTCTCCTGTAGAATGTACATTATGTCCAGTATCTGCCACAGAACTGGTGTGATAGTGATGGGCCTTGTGGATCTTGTATATTAATCGTTTGGAGTAAATTGTGCAGCACATTCTGATGCTTGTGGAAATATTCCTTGGAGAGGCCATGTCTGTTACCTTCTCTCCAAGCCCAAGCAGAGGATGCTGTGGTGCTGTTGGAGCAGGCCCAAGCAGTGTCTACACCTAACTTTACAAAGGAAAGGAAAACCATTCCGTCTTTAACTTGTTTCTAACACAGCTGAAGAATACTGCTTTGCCTTGTGTCCCTAATGTCCTAATGTATTATAACTGATAATTCATAAATATTATATTACCTCTTAAGAAGTTAATGTGAAGCTTTTAGCAATTGTGTAACTGAGCAACTGAGTGGTAATTCTAGAATATGTCTGTTGGATTTACATAGTGTAGCCCAAACCATTCTCCCATTTACAGAGTATTTTAATACTGTAGGAATTATCCAAGGTTGGTATAGAAAAGCAGCTTTCAAGGGAGTTTTAAAACTATCTATAGATATTAAAAAAACCCCAAAAATCAAACAGAAGATTTGTTAGTAAAAGGTGTTTTCTGTTCCTTCCCTTTATGGTCTCCAGCAGGAGCTGAGCTGGGTGTTCTTTCTTGTAACAGCTGACAGCTTGCTTGGTCCAGGAGCCGTCTCTCTGCAGGTGCGTTCAGTCGCGGCATGCTGTGCCTCCGGGGACCAGCTCGGCTTTATCGCTGTCAGCTGCAGGTACTGCGGGGGCCAGTGGTAGCACAGACGGATGCAGGAGCGGTACAGGCAGAGAGGTTTACAGCAGCTTCAGCCGCTGTACACTGGGGCTGGGAGGGAGCTGTGAATAGCTCACCTCGTCGAGCCGCTGCAGCAAGGCTCAGCTGTCGCCTGAGCGGAGGAGGTACGTGTCGCTGTCCCTCCGGACCACTTCAGAGGTGCATTGACGGAGAGAGGCGGGGAAGGCGGCGCCGCTCCCGCCCGGGCCCGGGCCTTCCCCGCCCCCTGACGGCACCACCGCGGGCGGGGCCCGGCGCCGCTTCCTGGGGCGGCGGGCCGGGCATGGGGGGCGCCGGGTTGGGCTGGGGGCCCGCGGGCCTGTGGGTGACGCTGGCGCTGTTCTGGAGCGCGGGAGCCGCTCTGGCCGCGGAGGGGCCAGCCGAGCCCTGCGGGGCGGATGGGTGGGCGCAGGACGCCGTCCCTCCGGGCGCGGCCTTCGTCGCCGCCGCGTCTTACCGCGGGCCCGGCAACAACGATACGCGGAGCAACAAGGCGCTGCCCATCCTGCTGTGGTGGAGCGGGAGCCTCTTCCCGCACTTCCCCGGCGACACGGAGCGCATCGACTGCCCCCGCGGCTCCTGCCTCGTCACCCGGAGCCGGCGGGTGGCCCGGCACCGCCGCACCAAGGCGCTCATCTTCTACGGCACCGACTTCAGGGCGTACGAGGCGCCGCTGCCCCGCCTGCCCCACCAGACCTGGGCGCTCTTCCACGAGGAGTCCCCCATGAACAACTACGTGCTCTCGCACTCGCCCGGCATTCGGCTCTTCAACTACACGGCCACCTTCCGCCGGGAGTCCGACTACCCGCTCACGCTGCAGTGGCTGCCGGGCACCGGGTACCTGCGGGCCCCGGCCGTGGCCCTGGCCGAGAAGGACGCGTGGCGGCGGAAGGGCTACGGCCCGGTGCTGTACATGCAGTCCCACTGCGATGTGCCCTCGGACAGGGACCGCTACGTGCGGGAGCTCATGAAGTACATCCAGGTAGGTGCGCGGGGAAGCCGTGGCGTGCTGCTGCTGTCGGAGCTGGGAACACCCGGCTGCCCCACTCTGCCGCCTCCTTTAATGGGGTTTGTTTGTCCTTGTTTTTAGCCAAGACACGAATCATAACGGGATGCATGCTGACTACAAGCTGGACAGAAAAACTAGTTGTATTCCTTCCCAAAGCGTGATCTAGACTACACCGCATGTCAGTAGGTAGGACTGATGCAGATGTTAGATGTGGAGTTGACCGCACTCGGGATCAGTCAAAAGCTGGGCAAAGCCTGAATAAGCTCGTTCTTGTGGATCAAGTGCTAGAAGTTGCTGAAATCTCTGGACTTTGAAGTTAGCATACAGGAAGGCTGTCCCTTTACAAGCCTCACTGTTAGGAAGTACAGGAGTGAAGTTAAAAGGCGGGTTGCTCTGTTGTGAGAGTCTGCTCCTTGCCTGTGTTGTGGTAGGACCGTGTTGTTTCTATGATGTCTTGTACAGTTGATATTAAGTAGCTTCATAAAGTAGAATAATGTAGTTTCTTCCAAGCAGGAGAAAAGAATACTGCATTTTTTCTCTTAAAAATTGTGAAGGATATTAGATTGATTAAAAAAGAATAAAAAAAAATCTGGTTTTAGACTTTGCCAGAGACTTGTTTTTCTAGTGGTTTCTGTTGTTTCTATTGGTCATGATTCAGTTATTGTGTAAGATCATCATATACTAAGTAGTGAAGCAAAGGCAAAAGAATTTTTAAAAAATTATTGTCTTCTCAAAGTATGGTGCAGGTTCCAGCTCAAGCATGTTGTCTTGTATTTTTAGACAGTATTCTTTTAGCACTCTGCATCAATTTTTCTCAGTCTAACAAAGAGAAAATTCTGTCAGCTTGCTGAGACAGGCTGGAACTCAGTGTAACAACTGTTTGGAAAAGCACTGGGTCTTTTAAGTGGAAGGAGGATGTTTAAATTGACATAGAGTTAAATACTGTTTCTTACTTGTCAGTTTCTGATTTATCTGGTAATAAATACGTTTTTGGGTGGCATCTGTGCACTCCCCTCGCCCTTCAGTCTGTAGTGTGGCTAATGTTGCTTTTGAAACTCAGCACTTGGTTTTCTCTAAAGCTCATAGAACTGGGGCTCTAGGAATAGTCTCAAGGGAAAGAACTTGGAGTGAAAATGAAGCTAAATTAGCGTAGCTGAGAACTGATCCAAGTTAGGAATTTTACAAGAACTACAAGGTCTGAGAGCAGGTTCCAGGGGAACAAATCACTTTGTAAAGATGTTGTTTGCTCTTCTAGGTTGACTCCTATGGGAAATGTCTGCATAACCGTGAGCTCCCCAGTGAACGACTTAGAGACACTTCTACAGCCACTACAGAAGATTCTGAATTTATGACTTTTATTGCCAGGTACAAGTTTCATCTGGCCTTGGAGAATGCCATATGTGACGACTACATGACAGAGAAGCTGTGGCGTCCCATGCACTTGGGTGCTGTCCCAGTGTACCGAGGCTCCCCAGCTGTGCGGGACTGGATGCCAAACAACCTCTCCATCATTCTTATAGATGATTTTGACAGCCCCCGAGAGCTGGCAAAGTACCTTGATTTCCTGGACAAGAATGGAGAGGAATATTTGAAGTATCTAGAGTATAAAAACGTTGGTGGAATCAAAAACCAGTTCTTGCTAGAGAGCTTGGAGAAGCGGGAGTGGGGTGTGAATGACATGACTCTGCCCAATTACCTAAATGGCTTTGAGTGTTTCATCTGTGACAAGGAGAACACCCGCGTCAAAGAGGAGCAGAAACACAAGAAGTCTCGTGGAAAAATTCCAGCTCCCAAACCTCATATAGCTCAGTTCAAGCACATGGGATGTCCTATGCCAACCCCTGGGTTTGGAAGCGTTGAAGATCTCTCTGAGGGAGACAGGTAATGTGCCAATATTATGCTTTTTGAAGGAAAAAAAGCTTCACATAGCAGGAGATGTAACTTTAATGATGCTTTGTACTTAAAGAAGCTCTTGTTATGTCTCCAGTTACATTCTATAGTATATCTTATGGGTGGTGTAGGAGTCCTGCTAATCCTGTGTAACTCTCAGGCTGAACAAGAGGCTTGCGCAGTGGTGTTAGCAGTTGAAAGACGAGTGTGCGATACTCAAAATATTCTGTTAAAATGCTCTGTTACCTCAGGCAACGGGGCTACCCTCTGTGTATCTTAGACTCTTTGCTTGAGGGATGGATGTTTTCCAGTACAGTGATGGTAAAGCACTTGGCAGCCCTGAGACAAAAGCAGTTCTATACCTTCTTACAAAGTAATGCATTGAGAATGGAGGTGCCAGTGTTTACTGCAGGCCTGGTTGACTCCTGTAGACTTCAGAGCAGAAATTGGGCTCACCCAGAAATTGGGCTCACCCAGAATACAGGAGTTAATGCTGTTTTGTGTGACAAAACTCTGTCTATGTTCAAGGATGCCATCCCACTTATTTAGCAGAGGGACTGTGCAGGACAGAGAACAGACTGAGTAGCTTCTTGTCCCTTGTTTTCTGTTGGTTGACTGATTTACTGGACCTTTTTCATAGTAATGCCTTTTCTCAGTCTCTGTAGCAAAATGTTCTTTTTCTTTGTAGTGTTCTATGCAGCACCCTACCCTGCTTTTCCATAGGTTTTCTGTTTGAGCATCAGGTGGCAGTAGAGAAGTACCTGTGAAGGCACACAGAGTTGATGTCAGTGTCACTTGCAAGCTCAGGTGCTTCCATCATTCTTCACAGGGGTCATCAGCAGGGAGTTTTGAATAGCTGGTACATAATTCAAGTTACAGTACCCATTATTATTCTCCACATTTGTAGGCACGAGACGTGTCTGGAAAAATAGTTCCAGGAAAGCTTTTACTTTTTTTTTTTTTTTTTTACATAGTTTTTTTACATTCAGTGCTACTTATTTAATAAAGACATGCATCTGTAGTTTCCAGGGCATGATTGTGGACATCTCCTGTAAAATACAGTGGTTTCTGTCTGATAAGAATCTAAGTTTTAACCATTTTTATTTG